GCTTTTACTGTGAAGAAACCTGTCAGTATTTGCAGATTAAATCTCTTTTCCTCCAGACATAGAGTGCCTCCTTTTCCTTTGTGATGACCTTAAAGTGAATACCTCTACACCAAGTTCACTATATGGACCATTTGTCCACATACTTGTCCACTTAACCAACATGTATTTATACATGTTGATCATATCCCCCCCTAATGTCCTCTTCTCAAGAGAGAATAAATTCAGTTCCTTTCCTCATAGCTGAGCTCCTCCATGCCTCTTATCATTTTGGTGGAATTTCTCTGTACTTTCTCTAGTCCCCTGAAATCTTTTTTGTGAATTGGTGCCCAAAACTGAACTGCATATTCCAGATGAGGTCTTACTAATGATTTGTACAGGGGTAAAATGATATAACTTTCTGGAGTCTATACCTCTCTTAGGCTGGCTGTACACTATACAATTCCTGGGCAGAAATTGGACAGGAAATTGTAAGAAAATTGTGTAGTGTATGCCAGCCCTAATACAAAAAAAGATTTTGCTCGCTTTGGAAACCGCAGCTTGGCATTGCATGCCATTATTAAGCTTATCTATCAGAACACCCAGATCCTTCTCCACCATTGATTCCTCCAGTTGTACTCCCCCTAGTATGTATGATGCATGCATATTCTTAGCCCCCAAGTGTATAACATTTATCTTTTATCAATATTAAACCTCATTGGCCACATAGTTGCCCAATTAAACAGAGCATTGAGGTTGGCTTGTAAATTGGACAACCTTAGACCATTCAGAGTATGAATCATTAACCACTGCTCTCTGGATACGATCTTTAAGCCAGTTTTCTATCCATTTATAAACTTATTTTTCCAAGCCTATAGACTTTACTTTACACATTAGCCGTGTGTGGGGGAACGCTTTTGCAGAATCCAAGTATACCACGTCCATCACCACCCCTCTGTCCAAGGTTTTGCTCACCTCCTCATAAAAAGAAATCAGATGTTTGACAACTTCTGTCTTTCATGAATCCAAGCCTGTACACTTTCTTACACATTAGCCGTGTGTGGAGAACTGTGTCAAATGCTTTTGCAAAAGTATATTACCTCCACAGCCACTCCTTTTTGTCTAATGTTTTGCTTACCTCCTCATCAAAAGAAATCAGATTTGTTTGTCAACTTCTGTCTTTAACCATTTGCCGACTGCCTTATAGCAGAAATACTGCTACAGGGTGGCAGCAGTGCGCAAAATCACGTGTATATGCGTGATTTTGCATTTCCGGATAGTGGGCGCGTGCGAGCCCTACCCTACCTGCTCCGCCAATCACCGGGCCCTGCCCAGTAATTACTCGCCTGCGCCAGGTGATTTCCGAGGATCTCCGACAGAGAAAAGAACTGTTTTGTTTACTAGATTTGTCAGTTCGGGCACACTACTGTGGATGGCTGTGCACAGCATAGCCATCCGCAGCAGTGTAATTACAGTGAATCTCACACACCCCACCCCCTAGTAAAACACTCCCAGCACACAGTTAACCCTTTGATCACCCCTCATGTTAACTTCTTCTTGCCCAGTGCCATTAGTAGTGTCAGTATTGGCAACAGCAACACTGTATTGGTGTCACTGGGGATGTCAGTAACACCAAGTCAGTTCTCCCCAGTGTCAGAATGTCCGCCGCAGTCCCGCTAAAAGTCGCTGATCGCCGCCATTACTAGTAAAATTAAAAATAAAAAAGAAATACCAGTGTATATATACCTCTATTTGTAAACGCTATAACTTTATGTAAACCAATTAATTTACACGTATTGGTATTTTGTTTGCAAAGACGTAGCAGAATACATTTTGGCGTAAATTTTATGACGAAATTTGATTTTTTAAATTTTCTTTTAATTTTACTGGACATGTTTAATAGCAAAAAGTCAAAAATTATTGTTTTTTTTTTCCCTCAAAATTGTTAGTTTTTTTTTTTATAGCTCAAAAAATAAAAACAGGCAATCAGATACCACCAAAATAAAGCCAAGTAATGGGAAAAAAGGGCTTAAATTTAATTTGGGAGCAGCACTGCATGACCGTGCAATTTTCAGATAAAGTAACACATTGCCACAATGCACAAAATGGCCTGGTCAGGAAGGGGGGTAAATCTTCAGGAGGGCAAGTGGTTGATGAATCCATGCTCTGTTGCTTACAGTATTTTTTTCCAGCAAGAACTCTGGCACAATTTCTGGTACCATCAACAATTGTTTTTTGTGCATGTGAAAAATGTTCTTGCATTGGAAAAAAAGAAAAAACCTAATGCAATCACCACATGTAAGGACTAGTGAGCTGCCATACATTAAATTTTTTGTTCTTGGGTTTAAATGTCCTTTTTATAGTGCATCTAAACCAAAACAATTGTAAGTGTTAACATATTCTCCCTCCAGGGGAAGTCAACCTTTGAGAGGAGATCTACTTGAACAACAAGGAAAAGATGAAAATCTGAATGACACCCTTTCCCTTTTCTTTCTTTCAATGGGGTGTTTTAATTAAAAAAAGGCTTTGTTTTACTATGTAAACCAACAACGGTTTGGCATAAAGGTGCCACATTGCAAATATTGATACATAGGAAAGGATATAAAAGATTGTGGGACATTTGAGGCATAACTCACAAAACTTAAAGGATCTACTTCTGATGGTTGGTAAGTTGTGAAGTGGGGCCTTCATGGATCAGACTTGTTTTTCCAGCTCATCCCACATCGATGGAAATGAGATCTGGAGAATTTGGAGGCTAGGTCACCACCTCAAACTTGTTGTGTTCCTCAAACCATTCTTAACCATTTTTACAGTGTGGAAGGGGGTATTGTCCTGCTAAAGGAGACCACTGCCATCAGGGAATACTGTTTTCATGAAGGGGTGTGCTTGGTCAGCAACAATATTTAGGTAGGTGGTACGTGTCAAGTAACATCCACATGAATGGCAGGACCCAAAGTTTCTCAGTAGAACTTTGTCTGAAGCTTTACACTGACTTGCCTTCTTCCCTTACTGAATCATGATGTCCTCTTTCCCAGGCAAGTAATACACATGCACCCGGCCATCCACATGATGTAAAAGAAAATGTGATTCGTCAAACCAGGACACCACCTTCCATTGCTCTGTGGTCCATATGCTATCATGTCCATTACGGGGCTTTTGGCTGTGGACACAGATCAGCATGGGGCTACGCAGCCAAATACACAGCAAACTGCGAAGCTCATTTTTTTTTTCAGCTTTCAATACATCAACTTAACAGACAACATGTTTACTTGCTGCCAATATATCCTACTGGTTTTCAGATGCTCTTGTAATGTGCTAATCCGTGTTATTCACTTTACATTTCAGTGGTATTTAATGGTATGGCGATCTGTGTATATACCATAGTTTGTAGATCCTATAACTTTAACACGGTCTTCATAATATGTACTTTGTTTTTTACCAAAGGAATGTAATGGGATACTTTTTGGTAAACATTTATGATAAAAGGTTTTTGTTTTTTTAGATTATTTATGTGCAAAGTTTTATATCCAAAATGAAAGTTTTTAATAATTTTTGGTCTTCTCTTCCTTTACATAGTAAAACATAAAAGACCTAGTAGTTATCAAATGCCACCAAAAGAAGTTCAGTATCTAAAACAAAAAGAAATACAATTTTTTGAGTACAGTGTTGTGTGACTGTGTCAGCCAAAATATCACAGTGTTGAAAACTGAAAAATGGCCTCGATGGGAAGGGGGTTTAAGCGCTGTTAAACTTGAAACCAAAAATGTAATATAAGAAAACATTGATATAGCATTGCCTCTAGACCAACCTGTGTGAGTTATATAATCATCTAGGATAGGGAAGGATACAACGATACAACAGCAGCGCTATATTAATTGTTTCCTGTTTTCCCACATCCTTATAGGCTTGTTTTACGTGTAAGCAGCTGCCCATCCATAGTTACCATTGCGTGGATCCATTATTCACTTTTCAAAAATGTAATATATTGCAGTTTACCAGTAATTGGGTATGGTGGCTGCATTAGCTTTCTTTTGTTAGGCTGTTTTCCCTCTGTTTTCACCCGGTGATCTGACCCGTAACACACCTCCTGTATTTAGAGTGTCCCCACTCTGCATGATGAAACACGGGGCACCATTGGACAGCAGCATTATCAGTCTGAGGGGAGGGGAGTGTTTAGACATACTAGCCGATTTAGTTACACTAGCAAATAGAAGCTGAACTCCAGATAATATCTTATGAGCAGTTACTGTAAGTGTTTTGTTCCTTATTATTATTATTTATTCCTTTTAGGATAAAGGTTTTACAGAGTACATGTTCACACTCACGGGTGTTGCTAAACTATATAGTCCTATAGTATCCATTTTCTTTTCCAAAAAGGTCTCATTTGTTTGTTTGGATGTAGTAAAACGAGAGTGATCACGTTCCTGATATGTTGCAGCATTGTGCATTAGGGCCTGGTAATGAAACAGCCCACCTGACATTGCTCTAATAAGTTTCCTTTTTTGAGAGATCTTGACTGTTAAATTGGATTGGAAATCACAAAGCTGCAGATGTCCACAGTTGAAAAGCTAGGTAACTTGTTGCACTATAATCTGCTTGGATTAAAAAATGGAAGTCCTGGACAGGTTTGTTGGATTACCTGTGAGACCCCTTTTACATGAGCATCAATGCATCTCTATGGAAAAATGGATGTAAACAGATGTTCATCAGTTCACATCCGCTCACATCCATTTTTTTTTTTTAACTGATCAAAGCTCTATTTTTGTTCCATTAAAAAAAAAAGCTAATGGAATGGATGCAAAGGGAAGTAAATGGACAAAGGAGCCGTTTTTGTAGTGGATGTACAAAACTGATTTAAATGGAACTGAACTGATGAAACAAATGGCACTTCCTAAGTATTTCAAGGCTATTGGATCAACTTTAATAACTATAGTTTTTTTTTTTTTTTTTTTTGGATTACTGGCAAATTGTTAAGGAAAATTGATGCAAGATTGTATTTGTATTGACAGGTACTGGTCATCATAATGGACACCATAAGAAAATTCATTTGTTTGAAAAACATCAGCCTATGGACAGTCAACATCTTTGCTGTTGTTTGCTTGCTGCCTATAGAAGCTGACATTATAGCGGTAAGTGAAGGAGTTTTAGTGAGCTTGTTAAACCACACTTTGAAAAAAACTTGGCCTTTTTTCATCCTGATGCCAATCCTAGTGTCATAGGTTTCCCCAATTACTATCTCTAATATTCTATTCATTGTATTCCTTTAAGCAAGATAAAGAGTACTTGAGATGTAGTAATAATTGGTTTAACAGTTCAAATGCCATTTTTTTTATATAAATTCTTTCACATTCTATTAGAATTATCTTGTTAAAGCAGAACTTCTGTTTAAAAAATAAACTAAGGACATGTCCTTCACCTTCTTCATGGCTTCTTTGTAGGGGTGTTAAACTCTTTTGAATGGTTCATGGCTGTTCCCAGCAGTCGCTTAATACAACACTGGGGGACTAATTGTGTAATATAGTAGATAGACCATTCAGCACTCAAGAAGTGTGAAGTGAGTTTATTCCATGTGTGTATTTCAGTGCAAATGGTAGCAGCAACACTGAAATTTATACTTCAGTTTAAAACCTAATGTCTAGTACAGTTGTCTTTTTTTTATATAATAATATAGCTGTTTTTCTCCAGCCCATTGTGTCATCCTTACCGTCATATATCCTGGACACAGGACATGTTGTAGAGTTATTACAATCTTATTTATGGGGCAAGAGTTATATTTGGGCCTCACTAGATGTGGTGTCGTTATACACTTCTATACCCCACAAAGTAGGTCTGACTGCATTATGTTCCTTCCTATCCAAAGATCCGGTTGTGTTCTAAGCAAGCTCAGTGTTTGGTTGACGACACCAGATTTTGTTTGGAACATAATTACTTAGTTGGGGGTTTCTACCTGTAGACCCACAGAACAGCTATGGGGGCAAATTTTGTTATGCTAACATCACCATGGGGTATTAGTAGGAGAGGTACGTCTGGAAAAACAACCATTTTGCCAAATACCTCTTCTTCTACGGCAGGTACAGCGATGACATTCTCATCATTGGGGGGGGGAGGGGGGGGGGGTACTCCAGACTACTTCTCTTACTTTACTTTTTATATTGCAATAATAACCCTTTACATTTACCTTTGTCATTGATCCAGAAAAACTTATTTTTCTCAATATAGAGCTTATGCATGATGGCTACAATATTGCCACTAGTAATCATTGCAAAACTACGACAGCGAGTTTAGTTTCTGACGCCAGTACTAAACCTCTATCAATCTCCCCCCAAAAAAAAGAACAGGCCCTCCAGCAACAACTCTAATTCAATTAGGGTCATCATTAGCTTTAACAACAAAGTTAGAGCCATCACAGGGATTATTTGTAACCAGTGGAATATCTTAAAGTTGGATCCTAAACTAGGCCCATAATTACCAACAGACCCTACAGTTACATTTAGATGTGCTCGTACTTTAAAGAATATTCTTGCCCCAAGTAAAGTAACATCTTCCAAAGAACCACAGTTATCTGATCTTTTTTTGATAATAGAACAGGCATTTTTCAATCCCGAAAGAGTGGATGTCTAACATGCCACTTCATCCCCCATGGATGTTCTAGATTTTCAGACATCAAAAGAAATTAATTTGTTATTACTTGTTCCTCGGATTATGTTATTTATGTCCTCCGTAAAACTGTTATATTTTGGTCGCACTAAACGTACGCTACGTAAACGGGTCAGCAAGCATGACTGACTCATTACAGAAGGTGACGACCAACATAGCCTCAAGCACTCTGGCTTCTCTGTCCATCCATCAGTGTCCATTTGGCAGTTTTCTGCGCTTCACTGACGTTTACTTCCGGCATGCGCCGCTGTCATTTCCGGTGTGTGAGTTCCGGGGACATTTGAGGCAGCATCCTGCTCTGTGAGGGGTACCTTCTCACATTTGGTGACCCATCTTCCAGCAGAGCAGCCCACAGGATTCCTCTCCACCGCCTCCTGCACCCTGGTCCGGATACACCCGTTTCCTCCGCAGTAAGCCAATTTTATTGACCACATTCACACATTTTGGGCTATACCACTCACTTTTTTCCTTCGTTTACATTGGACATATGACTACGAACAATGGTTTTAATTCCCTTCAAGTGGACAATAAAATCCTTCTTTTTTACTCTAGATAAGTGTCATCATCCTTGCTAATTTTTAATACTTTACTGGTCACTATTATTTTGGCTGTATACCAATAGTGCTCAGTATCAGCTACTGTTCTATTCACATATGTCTCCTATGGTTTATTGAGCAGCTGTGGTTATAGCCTTCACAAGCTACAAGACCTCATTTTTGGTTACTAGCGCCCAAGAAGTTTGTCAGTGTCTTTTTAAAATAAACTCACTAACCTCCTCATGAATGTAACCAACATAGTATATACCTTCACCCCAGCTTCTGCGTTCTTCTCTGTACAGCCCTGTCTGTTACCACTCAGCCTTTGCATTTGTAACTTCCCTCTGGCCTTCTGCCTGTGTGCATGCTCCCATTTATTAAAATCGAAGGTATATACTGACAATGGCCCTCAACCATCCAGAAGAATATTAGGCCATGCATAGAACAAAATAGGCATGACATGCGTTTTATCATGCAATACTAGATAGATAGATAGATAGATAGATAGAAAAATATCCACGTATCTTCATCATCCATTTGTACAGCATCTCAGCTGCAAGTTACATTAAAGTGCTTCTGGTAAAGATCCACTATACGTAGGCAAGGGTTAGACATGAATAGCTTATAATTATTAAATCATATCTTAACAAAACCTCCCAAAGTAGAATGCCCTACACAAAGGGCATTCAGAAATACTTGTTTCTAAATTCAGCTCACACTGGCTGTCATTGGTTAATAGAGAAAAAGCTGCATAGATACCTACAAAACTTTCTTGGTGCTGTGGATAATTTTGGAATATCCATATATAAAGCAATCTCTTACCTATTTAAAATCCGCATTCAGTTTTTTTATATAGTTACATAGTTAGTCTGGCTGAAAAAAGACAAAAGTCCACCCAGTTCAATCATAGAAAAAAAAAGTTATAATCCTATATCCACAGTTGATCCAGAGGAAGGCAAAAAAAACCCCAGCAAAACATGATCCAACTTGCTCCTGCTGGGAAAAAAAATTCCTTCCTGATCCCCCGAGAGGCAATCGGATATTCCCTGGTTCAACTTTACCTATAAATGTTAGTATCCAGTTATATTCTGCGTATCTAAGAAACAATCCAGGCCTTTTTTGAAGCAATCAATGAGCTGGCCAGAACCAACTCTTGAGGGAGTCTATTCCACATTTTCACAGCTCTCACTGTGATGAACCCTTTCTGTGTTTGGAGATGAAATTTCTTTTCCTCCAGACATAAAGAGTGCCCCCTTGTCCTCTGTGATGACTTAAGGGTGAATAACTCTACACCGAGTTCACTATATGAACCACTGATGTATTTATACATGTTGATCATATCCCCCCTTAATCTCCTCTTCTCAAGAGAGAATAAATTCAGTTCCTCTAATCTTTCCTCATAACTGATCTCCTCCATGCCTCGTATCAGTTTAGTTGCCCTTCTCTGTACTTTCTCAAGTTCCGCAATGTTCTTTTTGTGAATTGGTGCCGAAAACTGAACTGCATATTCCAGATGAGGTGTAACTAATGATTTGTACAGGGGTAAAACGTCTAAAACGATCTCTCTCTCTCTCTCTCTCTCTCTCTCTCTCTCTCTCTCTCTCTCCCTCTCCCCCCCCCCCCCCCCCCCCATACCTCTTTTTATACAAGAGAGAATTTTTTTGCTCTCTTTAGAAACCACAGCTTGGCATTGCATGCCATTATTAAGCTTGTGATCTACCAGAACTCCCAGATCCTTCTCCACCATTTAATTCCCCCAGTTGTACTCCCCCTAGTATGTATGATGCATATTCTTAGCCCCCCAAGTGCATAACCTTACATTTATGAACATTAAACATCATTTGCCACATAGTTGCCCAATTAAACAGTGCATTGAGGTCGGCTTGTAAGTTGAAGACATCCTCTAAGGACGTTATTCCACTGCACAGCTTGGTGTCATCTGCAAAGACTGAAATGGGATTTACAATCTCAGATCCTGTATCGTTTATAAATATATTAAAAAGTAAGGGTCCCAACACTGAACCCTGGGGTACACCACTGATGATGACCCTAGACCATTTAGAGTATGAATCATTAACCACTACTCCTTTTGAATATAATCTTTTAGCCAATTTTCTATCCATTTACATACTGATTTTTCCTAGTCTGTAGACTTTACCTTACACATTAGCCGTGTGTGGGGAACTGTGTCAAACGCTTTTGCAAAATCCAAGTATACAACATCCACCGCCACCCCTTTGTCCAAGGTCTTTCTCACCCCCTCATAAAAGAAATCTGATTTGTCTGACAACTTCTGTCTGTCGTGAATCCATGCTGTCTGTTGCTTAAAATATTTTTTTCCAGCAAGAACTCATCTATGTGGTCTTTTATTAAACTCTCCAATATCTTCCCAACTATAGAAGTTAAACTAACAGGTCTATAATTACTTGGTAAAGATTTTGACCCCTTTTTAAATATTGGCACCACATTGGCCTTACGCCAATCCAGTGGTACTATGCCAGGCATTACATTTCTAAAAATGAGAAACAATGGCTTTGAAATGACAGATCTCAATTTCTTAAGGACCCGTGGGTATATGCTATCCGGTCCAGGTGCTTTATTCACCTTTTATACTGTCTAAATATTTTTGGATCATATCAATTGTGAGCCAATGTGGATCATCTGGAGTTGTGTCAATACCCTGCCCATTATGGACAAGAGCTCCCCCATATAACTGTGCATTTGTGCTTCGTTTTAGTATGCTTCAGACAATGACACCCGTACATTTGAGGACCTTCCAGCAAGGTTTGGCTACAGACTTCCCAGTGATGGCTTAAAGGTAAGTGGATGTAAACAGGATATATAGTATGTTTTGGTTGAGCACATATTTTGAGTTGTTGACGTTTTAACTTGAGAGCCTGTTCACATATATGCGCATTGGATGAGGTTTGAACCGCATCCAATCTGCATAACATGTGAAATAACATTGCTTCCAATGGTGCCTGTTCACATATGTCCGGTGCACTGGCAGTGCGGATTCAGTGCGGATTGAAAAAGAGTCATGTCCGGTTTCTGAGCAGTCTGTAATCCGCACCTGAACCGAAACCGTCTCATTGACTTCTATGGGAACTGCTTCTGAATCACACATGTCATGAGTTTGTGAACATGATTTGAGGCCACTTTTATCTCCTGATCCTGATGTAAACCTGACCTGAACTGCTGTGCAACTACTTTGTCAATTCGCTGTGAAAATGGAGCTTCAATTCGCACCGCACATTTGTAAATCCACACTAAAGTAGAATAACACTAGAGGGATTTCTTATTGGCTAAGTGCACTTATTCTGGCTCTCTATTGACCACTTTTATAATTAAAGCTGTATTAAACCCAAGATCAAAATTGGAATACTTTGTGGCTTACCAATTATTAGATGTGGTGGCTGCGTTAGTTTTAATTGTTTAGGATTTTCCCTCCGTTTTTCACCTGAATGATTTGGCCGGTAACACACCTCCTGCATTAGAGTGCCTCCACTCTGGATGAAGGAGCACAGGGGGCTCATTACAGCAGCATCGCCAGTCCTGGGGGGAGGGAAGTATTAGATGTACTAGCAGGTTTAGATGCACTAACAAAGGGAAGCCAAACTCTAGCTAACACTTAAAACAGTATTTGATACTGTAGTTTTATTTCATAATGGAACATAGCTTTCCATGTGTTCCTTACTGAACTTTACAAGATAAACCGAATACTTAAATGTGGCACAAAAATCATTATGGTGTGTGTGTGTGTATATAGATGGATAGATAGATAGATAGATAGATATTACCATAGCACAGTGTATGTGTAATCAAAACCTTTTTACTTTATTGTACATTCTAGTTCACAGGCTCTTAGTCTTAGACCAATATGCAGCAACGTCAGATGATTGGACACTTGCAGACCAAGCTGACTGGACAGCCCTAGCACAACTCCTCATGTTCCCAGCAAGCCTCAGTTTTTTGCTACTGTCCCTAAGTAAATGGACATCTTCTCTATGCTCTAAGAGAAGCAAACCCTTTTATTGTTTTTCTTCAAGACTCCACTATCAAGTGTCGTAGCTTACTGTGTAACTCCTTGAATGAGCCTTGGGGCTAAGCTGTAATGTTGTTGCTTCTGGGTCCTGTGCTATATGCTCATGTAGGCACATATTGCAATGCAGTGATTTAGATGCCGGGTGCTATATGGGTCTAGAACCTGTCTATGAAGACTCCTTGGGCTTTATGCCTTCCAGAAGGTCAAAGACTGTTTGCATGGGTGTATTAGTTTTCCACTAGTACCTTTTTAATACTGCATGGTCGGTCCCCTGCAGGGGCCCTCAAGTTACTAGGGCTTACCCTATCCTTTGGAGCCTGCACCCTCCCCTTCAGTATTGTTGAGACAGGGTGAACTGCAGGGCTTCATGTAACAGAGATTTTTTTTTTTACTGGCATTGGCACAGTTTTCCTTCTGTCACATGTATTTATGACATGGCTGTAAAACATTTTAAATTTGTCACACAGCCTAATGGCAGGGATGTAATGCACTCATTTAATGTGTCGTGCACCCCCTATGACCTCTGCGCCTCTTCTAGCCTGTGCATGAGTTCTTGTTACTGATGTCTTGCCCCAAAGCTGTAAAATGCATGCACCTCTCCTCTCTCTCTTGCTTATAAGGCGACACACCTGCTGGCTCCTTGCAAGGCTTGCGCCCCATTTCTCAGCTTCTGCCTTCAGGATCTGGTCAAAAATGGCCATTAATCTCTCTTCCTCTACAGCTGGTCCATGAGTAATACTTGCTGGTACTGTCTCACTTACCATTTGGATATGATGGCCAAATGATAGTTAACTCATCCTGCTCTGTATATGTTTGTGAGTTATCCTTGCAGGTATTGGCTCACTTGTATACTGTTGTATTGTGGTTTAAGCTGACTTGGTCACAAATGGAAATTAACCCTTTCTGCTCTGCAGTCAGTCTGTGAGTGACCCTTGCTGGGACTGTTTGACTTGCATAATATTGTATGGCGGTGTACAGTGACCCAGTCAGGAATAGCCTTTAACCCTTTCTGCTGTGCCATTGATCCACGAGTAATACTTGTGGGTGCTGTACCGCATGTAAAAATGTTTTTTGCAATTTTTTTTTTTTTTTCAAAGTTCCAGAGTCAGTAGTACTTTAGCGCAGAGGCAGACAGACAGTAGTACTTTGGCATATACTACCTCTATATGCATGTCTAATGACAATGTGATCCTATGAATATGACAAATGTGCAATCCTACGATCGTGCAATGAGTGAAGGGAAATTACTCATTCAGGACGTAGAATACAATTCCTAACTGTTCTCCACAATGAAAAAGAAAGTAATTGCTCTCCTTGTTCCAGAAAGAGAGATCCATCTTATGTTCTGTCCCATAGCCCAAACAGTTATTGAGGTAAAAACCTCCTTGACTAAGTTACAGAAAAAAACCCCACCAAAAAACACCATAGTTTTAACCCTTCCTGCTCTATGTAACATTACAAGAAATGTTTGCCTGTAGTTCATTTTAAAGTGTTACTTAACCCCTGACCTTGCATTCACTACATCTGGTCTCCCACAGTATACAGAAATGCAAATATTTTAGTAAATATAAACTGCTAAATACCTTTTCTCATTAGCAGTTAGAGCAGTCTTCTGACTTCTGTTAGTGTCCAGCAGAGCACTGGTTAAAGCTTGTAGGAGGAGTTTTCATTCTCCCCTGACTGTTCTATGAGGCTACAGGACCCCTGACCCTCTATCTGGACAGTGCTGATTGGCCCTGTGCTGATCACATGCACTCTCCCAAGAAAAAAAAAAAAAACTCTAGCAACACACACCAAACTAAGCATGTGGAGCTTGCCCCCAAGGCTCTGTTCTATCAGCAGATGGATTGGGGACAGTAGAAGGGGAAGATCAGAGAAGACCGACTCAAACAGGATTTTTTTTTTTTTTTTCGTATAGAGGCGGCAATAGTCTTTAATGTAAAAAGGTTGTCTCTATGTTTTATGAAACCAGAAGAAATGAGGATTTTAGCACTTCTGGTTTCATTACTGGCTTGTACAGCATGTGATCAAACCAATCTCATATAGATCAGATGCTTTTGCAGGCAGAGGAGAAACCACTCAAGAATTAGATATTTTTCTTGATGGCTATAGAAACTTAGTCTTTCCCAATGTGGTCTATAGCTAAGGGAAAAAAAGTGTTTTTTTTTTTTGTTGTTGTTTTGTCAACTACATCGATTTGCAAACCCCAACAGTACAATATGCTGTGTGCTCCTAGTATACATAATGAGTGTGCATAGGTAGCACCTTGCTTTTCATATTTTATCAAATCAATGACATTTAGTGAGTCACTTGTACAGCAACAAATGTATTATTGGCTCTAACTAGCAGTGGATTTCATGACATCACTGTTTATATCCCAGATGATTCACTTGTGATATTATCTTTTTAAAGCTGGCGTGGATTTTTTTTTTTTTCTTGTAATTATCTCTTTTACTATGTTGAGGGCTTGGCACTCATGTAGTAGATAACGTTCCAGGTGTTGCTGACCCTGCACTAATTTGCTCTAATTTTTCATTAATAACTCATTAGCTTTTTCACATTCCCCCCCCCCCCCCCCCAGTTTACTACTACTTTAAGGTAGTGCAATCCATGATCACTGCCCCAGGGTTTGTTTCATGGTGGCTCTTTTCACTTCCTCCTATGAAGTCACCCTTGTAAGCAGGGACTAGAGTTGTGTCTCTCCCCACTGTGTGCGTCAATAGAAACACACAGCCCTGTAGCCTAGGATGGCAAGGCTATATCCATATTCACCAACAATTACAGATATCAGATACATACAAGATTTTATACATAGTTAAATACAAGAGTATTCAACTATACATGACCACTACTACCTCCACCCGCAATCATTCTGCCAAATACCAGATCTATTGAACACAGGCCAGGCGTATTAAGCCATGGTGGCCAAAGTTTTACAAATTTTATAAGGACATGCCTTATGCTGATAAATATAACGCTCCATTGTGGGGGTATGCTCTATTTTCAGCAATGTATAGGTTTGTGGGCTTGAAACAATGGTATAGAAGCATCTTCTTTTATTGGTTCCTGCACCATTAGGGTGTCTCATATACATTGTTTTGGATCTACCACCCCTGTCCTGTAAGTATGTAGTTTGGAGCAATGTCTGAGTAGGTGTATTAGACCACCATGACCTCTGCTGTATCTGCCATACAGAGAGTCATTTATTTACCCCCATTTTAAATCGTTTGGAGGGAGTATTGTGTGGGCCGTAAAAGAATAATTGAGAATGATGTTGTGTAATATTAAGGGTGCATTGTTGGATGGTCTGCAGGGCCACTTCCCACTGGTCATCTTCCATGTCATTTTACCACATTTGAAAGGTAATCTTTGAGAAAAACTACCAATAGCATGGCGTAGCAACGGGATATAAAACTTTTGGAAGTGTCCGTACTGTGCATAAAATAAAAATCAAGGTGGGATACAGCAAACTTTTCCATGCTGAGCCCTGGACTTGTACTGCACGCTGAAGCTGCAGGTACAGAAAATACATATGCCGTGGGAGAAAGGAATTTTGTGAATAGTTTGGGGAAGGAGAGGAGTGATCCTCCTGTAAATACGTCATGCAGGTGTGCGACTCTGTATGCTATCCATTTAGTGCCATATTGTAGTTTAGGCTAATTTTGTGTATGTGTTCTTGTGCCATATGGGACTGTAAGAAGTGAAGCCTGACACCTATTCTAGCTGCTTAGCCATTTTCCATGTCTTTTGCAAAAACGTAAATGTTGGAAGAA